CATGCGCAACGAAAATTAAAATGATTTCGATTCCCGGTCAGGATTCATCCTTGTGTTTAGATAGAAATTGTGATATAAGTGATACATTTTTCACGATCTGCAAACCTTTTACCTTATCTTTGTTTCAACAGCTTGGATCTGTCTCCCATAGCTGTCCAATTGTCTAGTTTCCAATGGTGATCCACACAAAGAACAAATTGCAACTACCAGGGTTTTCTCCTCGTGTGCTAGCAAGAAATTATGAGAAAACTATATAGATTGAAAACCCTAACCATGTATTTATATAAGCTCAAATGGGTCTGGTCTGGTCCGATCTAATATTTAATTAATCCATTTAATTAAATCCGGTCCGTGAATTAATTAATTCGGGCCTATAAATATCCAACCCAATTAATTAATTTATCCAACGATTGTTAAATTAATTAATTGACAAATTATAATCTTCCAATTCTCTTTTGTGTGTGACTCATCAGGTTCCTGATCACGATACATAACAATGTGAAATATTATTTTGATCTAATCAAAATTGATAAATTAAAGCACCATTTTAATTTATCACCAATTCACACTCGTCGTCTCAGATTGACATCTAACAATGTGTCAGAGCAATACATGTGACGGGAAATGTCATGTGGTATGACAAAATCAAACTCTTTCGTTTACCGTGAAACTATAATCATTTCGGCAATATGATCGGATCAATTACGAGATATGGAAGTGTGTCAATCCTGAATATCGATCATATATTTCACTCCATTATTAAGTCAATATAAGTCGAAAACTCCTTTTCGACTTATGAGTACACCTTGACCAAGGATTTCGTTATCGGTTTAATTGAATGAAACGTAGATCATAATCTCCTACTATCTAAGAGTGACGAATCCTCTATTGGTCATTCACAATCTTCATACGATTCTTGACATATTCGAACGATGCTTATTACTAGCCCCTGGCAGAGCAACATCCAACACCGTCAAAGCATGACTGTCCTCATATAAGATACTATGACGACCTCAAGTCAAAGGACCAATTCCACTACCAAACATTGGAGTTTAACCACTGACACTCAGATAGTTATCCATGTGGAATCTTTTGGTGGGTCTCTAATGTTTTGTTCTATAACAAAACATCCACGTGTTCATTTAAGTGTCACCACACTTTAACTAGTGAAATCATTTACTTACTTCACAAGTAAGAAATGCCACACGTGATGATCTATTGGTAATAACGATATCCGTATCTCGTCATTACTTACGACCACAGAGGATTTAAGATTCAATCATATGTAATTCGTATCTCACAATCACAACACCTTGTGATTAACAAATTACGAAAATTTGAATCTACGGACTCTATTATTTATTTAATTGTTTATTAATTAAATAATATATCTGCCATTAAATTGCATTAATTATATATCAAAAGTATTTATGTTCAAGGTTGATTGGACTTAAGGCATAATACTTACACTTTATGCATTTGTTTAAGATTTGCCTAAATTCTTGTTTATAATTTGTTTGAGGTTTGATGTCGATAAATGCTATGGTAGTAACTCTGTCGAATGCATGTGAATATGCAGTATGAGTGGATTTATTTACTGTTTTGGTAGTATCTATGGCTTTTTAAGTTCGGATCGGGTTCGGTTCGGAGAAGAACTCTTGGTCGGATTGGTGGTGGGACTTTGATATTCAGGAGACTTAGGAGTGTGATTAAGAGGTTTGTTGAGTATTAGAATTCGTGGGATTGGAAACGGTTGGGATGGCTGAAGTGAAAAATAGAGGTGAGGAGGAAAATGAAGAGTGGGATTGGGAGCGGTGGAGGATGCATTTTGCTAGGGTCGATGAGCAATAGCGTATTATCTCGATTGGCAGAGTAATGTCTCGAATAGGATTATTAGAGATGAAGTTACAAATTTTAGTGAGGTTTCTGTATGTTTTAAGTTAATCCAATGCCAAGCCTAGTATGCTAAATTTACGTTGATTGATGTTTACAATAAATAATTGTTTCTAATTTAAGATTTTTAATGGAAAATGATTTTTTGATTTAATTGTTGATTGATCTAGAAAGTGGACCTAATACTGAAGAGGGTTTTCAACTGGTTGCTGATGACATAGTACAGGCTGTCCTTGTATCATGTAGTTTTCCTTGATGAGCCAGTTTTTGTGTTTGGGACTGGAAAGTTTTTTATGTTTATACCATGCAGTAATATATCTTATTCCTTAGAAATAATGTTGTGCTTCACTGATATGAGGAGTACCAATGACTAGAAATCTAATATAGGTCTGTGAGTATTGAGAAGATTATAGTTAACTCCATGGACCTAGAAGAAAAAGGCAGAAAAGGTAAAAAGACAAAAAACAACTGCATATTGTCTTAGATTTCATTAAGATAAATTACTCAGTGAATTTTACGCAATTGCTCAATTTCTGCTGTCTGATGCGACCGTGTGCTTATTGTCTGTTTCATCATCTTTGGTGTTGCAGGCTTTGTTATATTTGTATGTAACACTCAATCACATCATGCGAAAACTGCATATAGAGATGACCATTGCGATGTTACTAGTATTGGTGACACGATGCTGAAGGATTGACAAATACAAATTGCACTTCCAAAAAGTCGTACAATTTTTGTGGTAGACATTCAGAATGAAGAATCTGAGGGTAGCTCGGTTACCAGGAGATGTGAAATCACCAATGCTGACACGATGAGTAACAAAGATAATGGTTATGTAGATGAGCGATAGCGTATTATCTCTGTGGCAATTGCAGCTGCAGCAACAAAATGACACTGTTGGCAGAGTAATGTCTCATCTAAAGAAAACTGTTCAGGAAGAATATTATGGCGATGCAACTCTTGTATGTGATTATGTTGGTGCTAGATTGGTTGGATAGTGGGCTAGAATTTCAAAAGACAGTAATGACCCTTTGGTCGTATTATTCATACAAGTGCAGAGATGGGCGATATGTAGCCAAAAATTATAGTCCTAGGCAGCTTGCCACAGCATCAAATGGTTCCCCCTATTTGAGATAGTTCTTATAAGAAATAATAAAGCAACATCAAATTAATTATTTGTCTTGTATAATTATAATATATAATTTACACGTTCTTTTATTGAATTTTTATTTAATATGTGATAGAGGGTCACATGGCTACAACAAGGAATCAATGTCGGTGCCAACGACAATATTTGGGTTTGTTTTGGACAATGGCCATGCAAGTGATTGTGATAAATAATTGTATTACGCATTTCCATGAACAAAAGTTGGAAAAAAAATGACTCTTTCCATGAAAAATAATGACTATTAAACACCAAAAGCTGGAAAAATACAACATTTTCTAGTTTGAAAATTAAGTCGATTAAACATATTTAATTGATATTTTTCATGCAAATAATTTCTAGGCAATTGAATTACTTAAAATTTATTTTCTTTTCATGTGAATTCCATACTTGCAATCAAACGCACCTTTAGGTTGTATTTTTTATATCTGGAAAAAAATATTTCAAAATTCACCAATTTCAAAATTTATATATTATGTAATACTATATTAACATTAAAATATTAAAATTTATTGAAAAATCAGATTTCTTAAATAAAATATTATAAAAAAATATACTCAAAATTTTAAAGTAAATGAGTTTTTCAATTTTATGTTTTGAAAAACAGTTTTTCAAAATGACAAAAAGAATGTATTTCCAACAATTTTAAAATAGACACTCAAAACACAAAATTCAAAATTCAAAACTACAAAATTGAAACACGAAGAGAACAAGTCCCAAGCTTCCCAAGACAATCCTAACATTGACCATCCAAAAAATTTAAAAAAGCAAGAAAGAGACCACAATGTTGGTGGTCTACTCAAAATGCAGAAATGGTGATTTTCTAGTTTTAGATTGTGAAATGCCGTTTAAATGTCACATATCTGTATAATTCTTCCCTGTGTAAATATGCTTTCAAGTAATATACTAAAATTTCCCTTCATTTCAACTGTAATTCCTTAAAAGAGGATAGGAAACATTGACATGGCACAAGTGTTGAACATGACACTACACGAACATACAATTTTTCAAAATAGTACCAATCCGATATGTTGATTAAAAAAAAAAAAAAATTCAATTTTTTTCAAGTAAATATGTTTTCTTAAATCGATTGTGTCAACAATGTATCTCCCACCATGTCAACAATTAATCATATCTAGCCGTACAAAATCAAAAAATAATTAGATCAAGTCACCTGAGGTTTTTGAGACGTGTTAACGACATCAATGTCATGTTGGTTTACGAAATTGATAATTTGAACACGCCAACTGACATTTACCCCCTCATTGTAATCTTTTCAATATCATGCCAAACCCTCCCTTTTTTTTTTTTTAAATCCCCCCCCCCCCCCCCCCCCCCCCCAACCCACACACCCAAAAAAAAAGGAAGGGAAAAACCCTTAACTACTACTCCGAATCCAGATGAGTACAATTTCAATATGCCACACAGTTGCATGTGAAATGACATGTATCAATGAATATGGAAAGAACACATGAACCGCTGTCCATAGGTCCACACTAAACAAAATGATAATTACGTGATATATTAACAACACAAGGGATTCAGCTATCCATGGCATTTCTACTGAGCAGTTCATCTTGCTCAAAGCACAAATAAGAATGGTATCCTAAATGACAAAAATGTTTTTGTTTTCAAGTATTATCCATAAAATCTAACCCCAACCATTATGGCAATCTTAATTCTGACCTTTTTCAGCTTCAAACTGTCAAGTACTTAAAGATGTTTTAAGCTATTAGCATATTACCTATAAAATATACCACTTAAAGCATCTATGCCATAGTTTTTACCCTTCTAGCATCCAATGCTGTCCAATAAATCAACTCTTACCTTTCAAACTTAACGATCCACCTAGAACCACAACTCGACTAGTTTATGAATGATCTTAATTTTCAGATACGGAAAACTTATTCAAAAGCACATAATTTAATACATGGACCAATGCTAATCCCATATAACATCCATTATGAAAATAAGAATGAATTTCCAAAAACATCCAAGTTATTTAAATCCAATACTTTGCTTTTACAATCAGACAAACATCTGACGTTCATTGAATCTACTCTCTAAGGATATATTCAAATGAAACAATAAGTTAACTGCCAATTTTCATCTACGTGAATGCTATTCCAATAGCGGCAGATTCTACCTAATAAAACCTACATTTTAAAAGATGACAAAACATAAGGAAATACCTCAACTGATTATGCCATTTTTAAAGTGCACCATCTTTCTTTGATGTTTGCCTTCTGCTTCGCTTTGAAGTTGTAGGAGCTTTGCGCAGTTTAGGGGAATAGTTGAGTTTGTAACTGACAAGTGAAGGTCCAAAAATTCTAAATTTCCCAGTACTGCTAAAAGCAGCTTCAGCATCAGCTCGACTCTTGAAGATCACTTTTGCACGCTTGCTTTTGCTCAATACTTCAGTGTCTGACTCACTCAAAGGTCCATAGCGGCTAAATATCCCGTTCAGATTTGGTATTGAAGGGATAGATTCTAAATTCGTAAAGTTGAGGATCAGTGCTGTCGGAGAATATTTCAGAGATTCTTCATCAACTAGACCAGATAAATTGTCTCTTTCCAAATCCAGAATGACAGCATCTCTTTCTTGTTTATCGTCCAAGATTTCACTAATACCAGAAACAGCTTCAGTTTCAACAGCAGAGGCAACCTTTCGGGTAGGGATCTCAGGTTCATATATCATCTTCTCCTCAGGGTCGCTTTGAATGATTCTATCGGTCCAATATGAATCCTCTATACCTTCAAATCCAGATATATCTGCATTCTCCAAGTTGGGAGATAGTTTCTCCTTATGCTTCTTAGCATGCTTCTTGTGATTTTGTGCTTTACCATTTTCCAAACAAGTATAATTCCTGAACTCACAGAACAGACTTACTGTTGAAGTCAATAAGCCAGACTTTCTCATGGGATGTTTTGCAGCCATGCATAGCATTGAAAAAATCTCATGTGGAGGAGGGCACTTAGCTGGAATCAACTTCTCACTTTGAGATTTCCCTGAACCATGGGTGAAACCCAAAAGAACACCAGTTGCACGTTCCCCACCACTTCTACGAACGGATTGACTAGAACTTCCATCACCAGACTTTAGAGCCCTGCATAAGCGTTCTCCAACTCTATGATATGAGTTAGGCTGCGAAAACATTTTATCATTGCGTGGCAAAAGTCTCTTCCTTCCTTCCACATGAGAATCACTTGATATATAATCAATGGGCTCGTGTTTTTCACCAGAACTGCATATCTTCTTGCTAGCCTTCCTTCCAGACTTCTTCTGGCCAGTTGGTAATCTTGAGCTGCTCAAGGACCATTCATCGTTGCTCGAGAGGTGCTTGCGCTTGCGCTTCTGAGAAGAACCATCTTGAGGAATTGACTTTCTCTTTTTAGATTGATGATCAACCTTGGAACCTAGAAGCACTCCTTTCATCACTTCAGGAGAATCCCTTCCATTGCCGAGAACAGTAACTTGAGAATCGTCCTCCAACAACACACCAAACTCCTGGAGATCAGGAAGCTGATAGTGACCCTTCCATCGATTAAAGGCCAGCAACTGAGCTTTTGCTATCACAAATTCCAATTTATCAGCTGTACAATTTGGGGCTTCAGCCAATACCTTTAAGTACCTAACGAATTCTGCGGGTAAGAATGTGACCGCACTTGATAAATTGTCTCTGTCATCTCTTCTACTTGATTCTTCCCGGATACCGGCATTTGCAACCATCTGAGTCTTTATATTCTTATGCACCTCTAGCAAGCATGAACATGACAGACCGAGCTCAACCCGTCTAGCAGTTTCATCTAAGGCACAATTCACAGCATGACAAAATGCTATGGAATTACTCTGTTCCCCCATTTGAGAGAAATGCATCCGAAATGGCTTTATCTTTGATACCTCGTTCCACGCAAATGTCTGGTCCCCAAAATATGCTAGCAGGTAACTGTCTCTCTTAAAATATTTAAGTGCATTCTCTGATGCAGCTGAAGCTTCAAATACCTGCCCAGGCCACCAGGGGTGGCTCCTTACTTTGCCCCATACTAGATCCGACACGCAATATTCTCCTTCCTTTTCTGTTATGCACTCTTCTCCACGTGTTTTTGGCATCAGCAAACCTGGATTACAATTATATCCTTCAGCATTTCTATAATTAACATCTGACACATGTTCGTTAACCCCCAAGTTTTCTTTTCCATTTGGACTGGATCCTTCTCCATGTGTTTTTGGTATCAGCAAACCAGGCTTCTCTTGATCTCCCACGGCATTTCTAGAAATTACATCTGGCACTTGTTCATTAACAACCACATTTTGTTTTCCTTTAAGAGCATCTTCTTCTCCACTTTTGTTCGGTACCAGGAAACCAGGTTTATGAACATATAACTCGGTATTTCTAGAATTTCCGTCAAGAACCTGTTCATTAATAACCGCATTTGGTTTTCCATTTAAACAAGCCCCTTCACCATGTAAATTCAAATTACATTCATCCAATATCTTGTCAACCCCAGTTCCTTCAATGCCAATTTCATTTCCAGATACAGCCTCCCCACTTAGAGCAGCTCCTTCTCTGTGCAAATCCAAATTATGCTCGTCCAATATCTTATCAACTCCAGTTCCCTTATTGACAAATTCATTTCCAGATACAGCCTCCCCAATTGCATCGCGAATTACATTCAAATTCACATGATATGTACTACTAGTCTTGTCTTCAAAAGGCTTAAAATCTCGCTCTTCCTTTTCCATTCCAAAATTACCATCAAGCACTCTTCCAACCAACTCCATAACTCCCCAAGAGCCCCGTGCATCCTGCCCAGTCATCCTTTCCTCAATTATAGATTTCCTAGAAGCTCCATTAACCCTCTCCCCATTCGCATCCACATTCAATTCAACAGAAACTTCACTGACCTTATCATCCATTTTACCATCACTCCCTTCTTTTACATCCACCATTTGCATTCCTCCAACTAAGCCTTTGCCCCCCTCCAAAACCCTAACCCCATGAACTGAATACCCTCCGCCTGGATCCCTAGAATTTTCCATTAGGGTTTTATATTCCGCACCACCACCAGGCTCCTTGTGTTGCTCCACCTTAAAAGCGTCAAACATCAAGTCCAATTTTCAGACATTAATTAAACCTATAAACATATACGCTGATACAGACACAAATCATGCATGAATTAAAACATTTATAAAATCAAAGACATCGAACGTAATGCACTTATTCTACACATAGAAACACATACACATATATACACGCATATACGTAAAATTGAGAGAAAAAGAGAGAGAGTCACCGGAATTGATAGAAATTCTGTCAATTTCTTATTTTTTAGAATTCTCCTCCCCTTTTTTTCAATTCTTTTCGTCAGAAGTATACTCCTTGCGAGGAATTGAGGTGTGATCTATGAACAATGAAGCAAGAAACATAAATTTTAAGAGGGCACGTGCGAGAGGCCACGTGCCTCGCACGTGCCAAGCGGACACCGCCTTCGACATTTGTGACGGTGATGTGTCGACTGGAAATGACGTGTTTAGATATAGATTAATATGTCAATTAATAATTATGGAATTTTTTTTTAATAAATTTGGGTGTTGATCTTAAAATATTTTTTAATTTATCAGTTGGGACTGAAATACAAGAAGAGGGTGTAGGCATATGCTATAATTGAAATTAATCAAGCACTATTAGATCTAGATGAGTAGTTTCAATAAAAAATGAGATTAAACTTTTATTGTTTGAAACTCTATCTCGCAATAAATATCTTCTTCTGTTCTTAAATGTATTTACGTACGGATTTTCTTTTGCGTCGAGAATTATAATTTAGTCACTTAATTACCCCTCTCAATAAATGTAAAATCGACTTGTTTTCTCCATATATTAGAGTGTCATTAGCGTTCAAAATAGTATGGTATATTTAAATCTCGTATGTCAATTGCTTTATTTTTATTTCATGTCAATGGCTTTATTTGATACGATGCTTTTAATATTGAATAATTTAATAAATTTTAGGGTATTTATACATACATCTTACATGTATCGTGGGTGTTTGAATGAATGTATGTATTAATGGAACATAGATTTTATATATATATATATATATTTATTTATTTATTTATTATTATTTTTTTTTAGCCAATGACTATATTTGACACCCTATTTTTAATATGTGATAAAAACATGACTAAAATCACGTCTGACGACAAAACTTGAGGACCAAGGATCTCAGAGCCCCATTTTCCTCATATCGAGCGGGTTTGGCTTGACGAAGTTGAGGACCTCATCCCAAAGGTTAATGAGCTTGCACACTCGCAGTTCTTCTTCCGCTTCAGTCCTTTTTCGACCTTACCAAGTAAACCATTTCTAGACTAAAATCGTCATTTCAATATCGTGGTCAACAATTAATTGATTTCAATAAACAATATCAAACTTGTAAACAAAAGAAAACTTCATGAGAGGGTCAATCTACTTTGGAGAAAGGGAATATGGGTTCTAATCCTTGTTTGAATAGGTTGCATCAGTATTCAGTAGTTGCTTATGGAGGCAAATTGTTAACTTTCCTTAGGTTTAAAACTTGGAAACTCTATCTAGCAAGACGTCAAGAGTAATTATGAAACAAAATAAGAGGAGAAAATAAATTATACGCCTCTTCGACAGTTCAATTTGACAAGAAAAATAATAAGGTCTTTGCCACTAGCAATAATAATAATAATGAATCTCAAACCAACATCAATAATTTGCAATCTTACTTTAAATTACTACTTGAGAAACACACCTGAACAACTAGAATACAAAGAGCGCATAATTCTACCATGCGAAATAGCTTACAGCACAAGGACAAACACACATTCAACAATTAATTGATTTCAATAAACAATATCAAACTTGTAAACAAAAGAAAACTTCATGAGAGGGTCAATCTACTTTGGAGAAAGGGAATATTGGTTCTAATCCTTGTTTGAATAGGTTGCATCAGTATTCAGTAGTTGCTTATGGAGGCAAATTGTTAACTTTCCTTAGGTTTAAAACTTGGAAACTCTATCTAGCAAGACGTCAAGAGTAATTATCAAACAAAATAAGAGGAGAAAATAAATTATACGCCTCTTCGACAGTTCAATTTGGCAAGAAAAATAATAAGGTCTTTGCCACTAGCAATAATAATAATAATGAATCTCAAACCAACATCAATAATTTGCAATCTTACTTTAAATTACTACTCGAGAAACACACCTGAACAACTAGAATACAAAGAGCGCATAATTCTACCATGCGAAATAGCTTACAGCACAAGGACAAACACACATATTTTTATATGATATATAAAATGCGTCCTGAACTTTGACAATCTATTCGAGCAGGAGGAAACGGTGACCTTGGCCGCAGATACTTCAGTTCTAATCTGTGCCTTGCATTGGGAGGACCACCATAGGTTGAGCTTGTGACTACAAATTCCATGGAGAGAAACTGTAAGAATCAAAACCAACGAGTCCAAATAGAAATTCCTTTTACTCCAAAATGCCATCAGATAGCAGCTATTAGATAATTAGCAATAAGCATCGAGAGTATATGCAGAGAAGGGAGCTGACAACTATGGCAAATAACAAGTCGTATTATGGCACTCCGATACACCTACTCACCAAACAACAAATAGTAAATAGATACCAAAATCCAGTGCACCATTCAAAACACATGCCTTGCGAGTGCATGTTTTAAATAACAAGGGCATTGAGATTCAAGTGGGCTGAGTAGCATATAAATGTATGGAAGCAATATAGCAAAAATATAACAAACTAACACCTTCGAAGCAAAAGCATATACCTTCCCACTTAGATCAATAAATGTAGGGGTGAATCAGCAGCACTTTCAATTTGGTACAGATTAAGAATGTTTTTCTTTTTCCTCGCCTCTTTGAGCTACATATTCTAACCTCAAAGGCTCCAAATATTGTAAGAACCCCTCGAGGCAATATGTTATTTGCTATTAACAATGTCCAACTTTCCATAACTATTTTGGCATTTTGATAAGGTGGGTTGGACAGTACTAGATACTAAAACAAGGAAAAATAGTCCATTGCACAGTTTATTTGTGTTTAGTACCATGTTCCAGAGACAGTCTTTTTATATGATTGCTCCATAAGGAAAGTGGGGTCATGGACAATTGTTTCCACTGAAAGTTCATATAACAATAGAAAGAATCATGTTACGTTGCAGGATTATCTCTTACCATGTATCAAACTTCTGTTATGACTGATACAAAACTGAAGATGGCAAGAAGAAAGAAACAGAAGTACTGAAGTGGCCCAACACTTATATAAATGACTTAAATTCCAACGCCTTTTCACTTACCAACGCACTTCAAAAGCTCCAGTCTCCACAAGTCACTAATACCTTTCCATTTGTAGGTCATAAATGAAGCACTCATATTGGCATTTCTCAAGTACAGTGTGATTATCAAATTTCAAAGGGTAGAAAGGATAAATGATGTAGAATTATAAAATGCACCTTTCACTTTCATAAGTGTTGAACCAATTATAGAAGTTCACAATATAGATTATAGTGGTTCCTTGCTAACACAAGCTTTCCTCAATTGCTAAACATACATTTTAGAAGTTGCAGAACGCCATTACTTTTCGTTCAGCTAGCAGAAGGTCATAAACAGCAAAGTATAAGGCAAGGTCCTAAATAAAAAAATTCTAACACGAGTACATGACCTTATATTCACCAAAAGGAGCCCAAACGCCTAGAAATCAACATCCTTGCATTTCACCCAGCAACGAGTATTGAAATTCTATTGTAGGGCATACTCTCCAAATGCAAGCCATAGGCGCTCAACTCTCTTACAAGGTTAAAAATTCTTAAGATAAGACCAAACAAAATAACTATCACGAAAGATAGTGAAGTTCAAAATTGAAGTTCTCGAAACCCTCGAACAATCAGCAGGCAGTTTCCTGAAAGGTTTTCTTCCTTTTTTAAGTTTGATTTTTGAATGATCAGAAATTTCAGTAAGATCGTATCAAGGCATTCACTCATGAAGCAACAACCATCAAACTAGAGGACTTAAAAAATGAAGAGAATTAAAATGCCAGTACTTCTGTTTCTTGCAACAAGCAGGATGTAACATTAAAACCTCCAATACTCAGCACTAAATATATGTGAGTGGGTGAATCAGAATTTTTAATATTATGTGGCCCAAAACTAGAGGAAAATAAATAAGTTTGGGGAATTAAGTACCGCGCCTTACAAGCCTTGAGGAATATGCGTCACTCAACTGAGGAGTGCAACTCCAAAAGATGCTTCACAATCAGCACCTTGAGGCCTTTTTGATTTGCCTTGCGCTCTAAGCTGGGCCTCAATCGAGACTTTTTAAACTATGTGTACATCTCTTTAAAAAATAGGTAAATTAGAGGCCAACTTACGGTGACAAAATCTTGCAGTCATATTTTCTAGAACACCACCAGCAGGAAACCAAGGAGGTACAACGAGAAAGACAGTGCCCATAAATGCAAGAAATTCCTGTGTAAATCTGAAATGACATATTGCACTTCTCCCCCTTCCCCCACTACAGATAAGATTAAATGGACATTAAAAAAATATTAAAACCCGCATATTTTCCTTGTACATATGGTTTCATCTGCTGCCCTCCTCATCTCATATCATGGTTTTGCCCCCATAAAAATTCATTTTGTCTATTGTTACTTGATATCACAACACATGCAACTAAGTCATATAAAAATGGATGTTTAAACACAATAGTTATGGAAGAGGTACATGTAAGGACACATTAATATACGTATGAGAGTATGGCACTGTACAGAGGGAGGGAGGGGGAGAGAGAGAGAGCTGTGCAGCATACTAGCGTGCTGCACAAAAGTACAAGGGCAAGAACCTGAGAGCTTCAGTAATTCATGCCTTGTGTGAATGAAACCTGGTGAGCAAGCTGCACCTGTTCACAATGTCCACAAATTAACGTACCTAAACGTTTCAAACATTGAGTAAATCAAAAGAAATCAAATGACAATGATGTGACAAAATACCTGAGAACCAGGATTAGGTACAAGTGCATCCTTTCTAGCAGATCCATCTGCACCCTTCCCTGATCCTTTGGTATCACCCTGTCAAAAAAATGAGGAACAGTATGTTGTCAAACTAAACAAAACAACAATAAAAAATCGCTTGAACAGAATTTTAATATGCATACACTCACCTCCAACTGTAGCCAAGAGCAATCCAAGGAGAAAGAACCATAAAACCAAAAACACACATCCATCAGTTTCAGTATAGAAATAATTCATGATAGCACAATAGTTCATTTTGGACACTAGGAAAAACCCAAAGCTAAAAGAATATCAAAAAATTCAATGTCGGAAAAAATTTACCTCTCTGTACCTAGCCAGATACACCTTTAATGGGTCAATGTAATCTTCAAATCCCAAAGTTGCCATAGCCCACAGCAAATCATCCCCATTAATCGTCTTTCTTTTCTCTTTCTGACACTTGTCACTTGCCCTTGACATTTCAACCATCATAACACTTTCAGTTACAGACCTCGACAACATCAAAGCACCACTTGCCTTAATATATTTGCATCCAAATACATATGTCCAAACATTCAGAAGAGACTTAATTATGATGCTAATGCAAACAGATTAAAGAAACCAAATCCATAAAATGAACATATACATTTGATATGAGAGATAACATGTTAGCGTGTAACATAAGAGGAATATATACATGCAATTGTGAATGTGAACGTGTCTATTTTTCGGTATAATTGATCTTATCACCTTCACATCAATCATATAAAAAATATATATATAACTTTGAGGTCATAAACGGCACAAGATCGTTATATTGCACGAAATTAACAGGCGATCCTCTGTGTCTCTCAATTGAACTCGCATAGTATGTTCTGGGAATTTTTTTAAAAAAAAAATACAGTCTTTAAAAAGAACATAAAACACAACCTTTTTCAATCCACAAACAAATTCAATCAATTTGACATCTTCGTACACACAATCTATAAAATTGAAATTACACCATACTCGCTGGTGATGAAACTGATGAACTCAGAGACGCATTCTTGGACGGTTTCTTTAGCGTCCTTAGCAATCTTCCCGTTGGCCGGGAGTGCCTTCTTCATGATCCTACTGATGTTCGCAATTGGCAGAAATCTGTCCTGCTCCCTGACACCCGAGCGAGGGCTCTGATCGCCCCCGCTGTCATGGCTGCCACCGCCGCCAGGGCTTCCTGGCACTCCCAACGAGCCACCTGCCCGTCCATCCGCCATTCTATCAAAAGCAAAAAACCCTACGTCAGAGAGTGAGTAACCATATATATACTCAAAACTATAGATACAACAGGGATCTGTATAATAATATATATAGATATAAAAAGAGAAAGTGGAGAAAGAAAGGGAGGGAGAGTACCGAATTTGTATTTGGGCGCGAGAGTAGAGGAAAATTGGGAGATCGGAGGGTGGAGAAATGGGGGAGAAAGGAGACGACTGAGATGAGAGATTGGGAATAGGGTTTGATTTATCAACACCGTTGGTTTTTTGCTTTCTATATTATTATTTCTCCGTTTCTTCTCCTGTTCTGGGTGAATCCCGTTACACCATGTGCATTCAGTAAGACAAGCGCGACTGAAATAAAAAGGGTTTTTTTGCACATTTAGTCCCCAACTTTTCAGGAAAGTAACAGATATTCCCCTAACCCATTTTATTGGCACACTTTTTTTTTTTTTTTTTTTTTTGAAATTAGCAAAATTCGTCCATGTTGACAGATTATGTGAGGGTTCTTGTTATCACTTCCATGTACAGTCGATGCAATTTTTTAATTCCCTCAATGTGATTGAGAGGTCGAGGACAAAAGAACCTATCGATTTTAATCTTGCCTCTCTTTTTTCACTACTTTTTTGTGTATTATTGTAGATGTCATGTCCAATTTCTTACAAATGATGAGATCCAAATGATGAGATCGCTTATGTTGAACATTCTCTGTGTCCTTGTCATTGAAGTAAATCACCTCAATGTTACAAGTCTAGTTTATTTAAATTTCTAGGTATTGTCTTCCTTCTCCGCACCTCTTTTCTGATAACATAAAAATGGAGAGGATGGCATGCCAATTGAAAATGCAAGGATGTGAAGACTTCTTAGGGTTATTCGAACCCAATGAGAAGATTCTTTGTTTGGGAGTTGATTTTAGTGCTTCGTATATTTCTTTTAACGATAACACTTTCATTACCCGAAATCCTAATTCTTTTTCCAAAAATAATTGACGCAGTTGCTTCACGCGTATCTCTCCTTCCATATTTCTTTAGTCTGCTAGATTATTTCGATGAGGAGGTAGAGCAGTAGGATTTTTACCCAAACTCGGTGTTACACTCCTAGCTAATTCACTTCGGAACAACAGTCAAACTCCCACGTGTCCATTCCCTAGCTAAACCACTTTGGAAAAACAGTCACGCCACTCCCCAAAGCTCCACATGTTCACCCGAAGTGGTTCCGAAGTGATGACCACTTTTGACGACGTCAACATAGCGTGCTGCAAGGTGAAGAGTAGATCTACTGAAGCAACCGAAGTGTCCCTCAACTCCGAAGCGTTGAGCACTTCGAGACACTCCCTTAACATCCCTCCGTCGCCACTATCAGAAAAATATCTGTCAGAATCCCCTCTGTCCCCAAAGATCAAGTGATGTGACGTCTCCATATGTCTAGTTAATGTGACTTATCAACTTTATGTCAACTCAACTTAGAAGAACTAATTGTCCGTCCACTCTAGACGCAGCTGATTGATGCCTATGAGCGGACGCCTCATACCGTCAGATGCATATACGTGTCCCACATCCAGCGATGCTCTATCTCTATAAATACCCAATGTTTGGCAAGAGATAAAGGTAATGAAACTCTTATAACTTAGCTCTCCATACTAAGAAATATATATTCTCCTCTCCACTCTCTAGCATAACTTGAGTATTGTTCCGATCACCCAACGCTGACTTGACCGTATGTGGCCGCCGCCACCACCACTGGTTCCGGCCATGTGCTTTTGACAGTACGTTGTTGTGCACAGGGAGGATTACGTGGAGTAGCTATCCGTTGGCCACGTGGAGGGTCCAATTCTCGAGGTCAACGGATTGACGCCGTCTGTGGAAAACTTTCCATCCAAAAGTTTCACATTGTCCACCGGAAAAGCCACAAGCAACTCATCAACTTACCCTTAAAAGGCCACGTTCTTGAAAAAGAACAAGGTCAACATACAAGTTTCTTAACACCCTTGAAATGATAAACAAAATGAGTTATAGTAATGAAGATGCAAATTTTGAAGGGCACAGGGATGCCTCTGAAGAAGAGGTAATCAGGACTAATATCACTCATTGGAGACCCCATCACCGGCGTCATCGAGGCAACAAGACAGCAGCGCTCACTGAAGGAATGACTCAAATAGCTGCCGGAATGAGAGACATTGTCGCTTAGAATGTGGCGATGCATGAATTCTTCATGCAAGCCCGAGGTCATCAGGGCTTTCAGATGCCTCAAGGATCATATCCAGCTCAAAAAATCCCTATGCCTCATGGCCGAGGTCATTCGAACCAACACCGGGAACACCCCCATTAAAGAGAAGTGGGTGTAGATGTGACATCCTACACGCAAGGAATCCAACCAGCAAAACCACCACTAGGAGAGAACTTTCCACCAAAATATGAACCCCAAAGGTTTGTTAGTGTCTTCGACAGAATAGGGCAGAACCCTAGCAATAAGGTCCGCTCCATAAAAAGATCAGTCCGACAAGAGCAGGAGCAACAAGTACCTCCTCCGCCTAGAAATAGGCGGGTGAGAAAAAACCTAGTGGATTGGGGTAGTCGAGGAGTGGCACTTTCACCCCCCCAAAATGCATCAGAGGGAGAAGGCTCTGAAGGGCCATGCCGCTCTTACGAAATCGATGATGATGATGATGACAACCTCCACTTCTCTAGAGAAATCTGAAGCTTCCCGATGCCTGCAAATTTCATGCCCTCTAAAATCCTAAAGTATAAAGGAAAAGGGGACCCACAGAAACACCTGACTAAGTACATGACACAGATGAGCCTCAGAAGAGCCTCGCTGGCACTGAAATGTAGGGTCTTTCACCTAACCCTCATCGGAGCTGCTAAAGTGTGGTACAACAGATTACCACCCCTGAGCATCGAAGCTGGCCAAACTTGAAAAAGACATTTCTGAACCAATACCTTTCACGAAAGGAAAGAGAGGCCCCGGTGCAACGCCTGCAAGACATGAGGCAAGCTCCTGGCAAGACACTGAAAAGTTACCTCGCCAGAGTTACCGATGAAATCACATACTGCGAGCAAGTCATTAATAGGGAGGCCATTTCAGTCTTGAAAAGTAGCTTCAACATGAACACTCTATTTTGGAGGGATGTACGCAACAAGAATCCCACCACCTATGATGAGTTGGTTGAAATGATGAGGGTAAAAATCGTCAATGAGGAGATGATTGACCAATGGAACCGTGCAGCTCAGGGACTTTCCCTGCCTCAGAGGCAGATGGTCAAGGACCAGCCACACACCTCGTCACCCAGCAATAGACCCAAACCAGTCACACAGTAGCCCTCACATTCGGACAGGCATTGGCTTCAGCCACTCTAAATATAGTGCCAGTGCTAGCTTATGAAAATGCTCCTACCGAGGCAGGGCCATGTGGGGGAACAAACAATTGAAAGAAGAAGAAGAAGCGATCAAACAGTCCCCTGGAAAGGGGCAAGGTTCTGCACCTTTCACCAACTTTACGAACACGACACCAGCAAATGTAAAGATGCTACTCGATCCTTGAGCTGGAGTAACACGCTCCTCGAGAAGGGGTGAATACACCCACAGGTCCACCTCTCCAAATAGGGGAGAAACGCGATACAGAGACCAATCACTCCGAATGAGAGAATCCAGGAACAGAAGAGAATCCAGGCATAAGGATCATACCCCATTTGGAGGCCAAGTTTTCAGGAAAATTGATACAATCATTGGAGGACCTCACATTGGGGGCAATACCAGGAACGCCCAGAGGAACTACACAAGATAAGCAAAGGATCTACCAATGTTTACTTACATTGTCAATCAGACCTAAGAAGCCAACAGGATGGCCCCGATCACTTACTCTCAAGAAAATGCACAAGGAGTTCACCACCCCCATTGTGATACGTTAGTGGTAAGAGTCGTAGTGGCTCAAAACGGACTTAAACGCATGCTCGGAAAAAATCCAATAGATTTAAAACTTCTTTTCATCGACAATGGTAGCTCAGTGAATATACTGTTCAGATCCACCTTTGATAAAATGCAGATTCAACATGGGTTGATCCCCATGACCGACCCGCTATTTGGATTTACTGGTGACAGCATCGTCTCACGAGGGCGAATTACTCTACCTATCGAGATGGGGTCAGCCTCCTAGTGGCCCACCACTTCATGAAGCTTCTGGTGGTGGACCATAGATTAGCTTACCATGGAGTATTGGGCCGACCTGCCTTGAAGGATCTTTGGGCAGTTACATCCATCCATTACTTGTGTATGAAGTTCCCAACCGAACATGGGATTACTACAATTCGAGGCGACCAAATGGGCTCAAGGGCATGTTACCTCAACTCTCTACGAAAATCCAAGCCCCCTACTATTAATGTCATTATAACAGAGGCAAACAACGAAGCCAATATGGATATAGAGCTGCTCGATGCCCCTGAACAAGGGCACACCTCCGAATAAGAGGAAGACGTCAACATGGTAAAGGCCAATGAAGAAGAGCACCTTCTTGATGAGTTGGACCCTCGAATTATCGAGTCCGAACAAAATGCGACTTCAATGGAAGAACTAGAAAGTTTTCCCATCAACCCTGAAGACCCCACTCAGGTCTTACGTATTAGGAAAGCACTACCCTCGAAGTGAAAGAAGAAGTGATGAACTTCCTGAAAAGGAACCTGGATGTCTTCGCTTGGAAGCACGAAGATATGGTGGGAACAGACCTAAGGATCAGTTGCCACCACCTTAACATCAACTCCTCCTGTGCCCCACATCAGCAAAAAAGACGAACCCTCAATTCAGAGCGATATGAGGCGCTCAAAGAAGAAGTCGACAAACTCAGCCACAACGACTTCATTAAAGAAGCTATCTATCCGAAATGGATATCCAACTCGATCCTCGTAAAGAAACCTAACGAAAAATGGAGGGTGTGTGTAGACTTCACGAATTTGCACAAAGCATGTCCCAAGGACAGCTTCCCTCTCCCAAGGATAGACCAACTGGTGGACTCCACTGCTATACATGAACTTTTAAGCTTCATGGATGCGTACTCAGGGTACAACCAGATACCTATGTTCCGACCTGATGAGGAATCCACATCGTTCATCACAGACAGAGGATTGTATTACTATAAGGTGATACTTTCGGATTGAAAAATGCCAAAGCTACATACCAAAGGCTGGTCAATATGATGTTTGCCAAGCTCATTGGCAAAACCAGGAAGGTCTATGTGGACGACATGCTAGTTAAAAGCCTCCAGGCCAAAGAACACGCAAGTCACCTCGACCAGACCTTTCATATTCTTAGAAAG